ATAATTGTAGCATTCAGTATTGATTACAACCCAATATGAAGAAGACCAAAATTCTCACAACTAGACCAATAGATAGCATCATGATACATGGAAAAAAGTTTGAAGCTGTCCGGGATTTTGTCTTATTTGGATCCACAATCAATATCATGAAAGCAGCAGTCAAGAGATCAAAAGATGCGTTGCATTGGGTATATGTGCTGTACAACACCGCTTCAAAGTATTGAAGAACAAAGATATGTCTTTGAGGATTGAGGTGAACCTGACCCAAGCCACAGCATCATATACATGAGAAAGTTGGACAGTGAACAAGGAAAACCATAGAGGAGCCGATGCATTTGAATTGTGCTGGAGAGAAGATTGAAAGCCCTGTGGGCTGCTAAAGTACAAACCGATCTCTATGGCAACAAGCAAGGCCAGAGTGTTCTTTAGAGGCAAGGATGGCGAGATTTTGGCTAACATCCTTTGGACACACTGTCAGAGAGACCAGTCCCTGGAGAAGGACATCATGTTTAGTAAAGTGAAAGGAGAGTGAAAAAGAAGACCATCGAGGAGCTGGATTGACGCAGTGGCTGCATCAGTGGGTTTATGCATGGGAGCAATTGTGAGAATGGGTCACGGGACCACACAGACTCCTAAATTTTCCTTTCTGCCTTGTAACATGTTGATTTTTGTCAACATAGTAACAAGAATTCTTTCTTTTTAATTTTGTTAATAATTCTCTTAAAATATACCATGATCCCTCAGCTCTGAAACCCCTGAATAACATCCTAGCTTACTCAAAGTTCTCTAGAGAAAGCAAAACCAGTTATTTATAAATATATACACACTAATATATCTAATTCTATAAGAAACTTTAAAACCGTAAACGAAGTGGTTGACTGATTTCCCATTCCCATCAACAATGTATGATAATTCCGGTTGTACCACATTGTCACCTACATTCTATGTTCTTAGTCTTTTTAATTTTGGATAGCTTGATGAGTAATTATCTTATTATCATTTTAATTTGCATTACTTTGCTGACTAAAGATGACAGTACATTTTAATTTTCTACTGGCCATTATTATATTTCTTTTAGTAAAGTATCTATTCATACTTTTCCTATGTTTTAAAGATTTGTTTTTGAGTGGGTGAAGGGAGACGTGGGACAGGGAAAGATATGACAAAATAATAATATATAAATTATCAAGGGCTCATGAGGGAGGGGGGAGCGGGGAGGCAGGGGAAAATGAGGACCTAATGCCGGGGGCTTAAGTGGAGAGGGAATGTTTTGAGAATGATGAGGGCAATGAATGTACAAATGCGCTTTACACAATTGATGTATGTATGGATTGTGATGAGTTGTATGAGTCCCTAATAAAACAATTAAAAAAAAAGAAAGAACAGAAAACAAAAGTCACAAATATTAAAAAAAAATATTTGTTTTTGTTGTTGCTGGTATTGCTTCATACAGTTATGTAAATATTCCTAGAAATACATGCCTTATAGATATTGTGAGTAATTATTTTCCAGCCTGTGATTTATAATTTCATTTGTTTAAGGATGTGTTTTAAATAAAGCTTTGATGGGGATGCTAAAGAAAGGTAATCCAAAATTCATTTTTTGCTTATTGACTTTCTGGACCCCAAAATAGGCAAAGCATTTTTTGTCTATTCCATTTTTATGAAGTTCCTTTCTTCTTCTAGAAACTTTGGTTATTTAGCTTTCCATCTTTGTCTGGGATCACATTCAATTAAGTTTTGCACTACATGTGATTCAGCAGTTGATGTTCATCTTTCCCTAAGTTTTTTCCATTTTTCTACACCTGTGAAACTATTTATTTCCTTATTAACTAGCCTTGACAACTTTTGTTTTTAAATGTGGGATTTGTATTGTGTTTTGTTTATCTTTATGTTAATCCCCAATTGACTTGAATTGTGTAACTTTATAATTTATTTTATAATAAGTAGTATGAATTCTCATAACTTAAAAACCACATTTTGTGGAAATTATGTTCTTAGAATCCATCCTTTCAATATATATATTTCAAATTCAGAAAAACGTTTTCTAGGATTTTGATTGTTTTTCTAGTGAATCTAGAAATCAATTGGAAAGAGTGACATCTTAATAATATTAGATCTTCATATACAAAAACTAATTTCCTTCTTTCTATGAATTTTACTTTTCATTAAGGTCATTTTGTACATATTTTGTCAACCTGTTATAAATAATTTATATTGCTATTGTCTTTTATATGGACTTGTTGCTTATTTTCCTATCATTGTATGGTATCTGGAAATGCAGTTGATCTGACCCTGCTATGTTCACCTATTGATTATGATGTTTTTCTTTTTTTAAGTGATCAGAAAACATCCTTGTTTTTATTTTACTTTTATGGTGAGACAATTTGGTTTTCCAGTATTAACTATGATCTCGCCTATC